ATTTAAATAGATTTAACAAAATAACATATTATCAATCAAATACATGTTATCAAACACATATTGAACTATATAATCTAGTACCCAAGGCTCTGATACCATTGTTAGGAATCGATCTATCCAACGTAGCGAAAAAACAAAAATTAAAAGGATGAATCGATTCCTTTTATGCCAAGATCCGAGTACAGATTATATAGTTAACTTGTAAAATCAAAATTCTGTGGAAAATATAAACGATCCATTCAAGTATCAGAGATCTTACACACGTTTGGAGGCTCCTTCACTTTGTCTCTAATTTGGATTCGCTACCGATTCAAGGTAGAATTGAACAAACAGTGATCCACATGAAGACAATCCGAGGAACCAAAAAGGGATTTGCTAGATCCTCTTTTGGCTTCAAGAATCAACTTAAATCAAAGAAAAACTTTGATTCAAGAGAAAGGCAAAACGTGGGAGAAGGGAAAGAGGGCTACCTCTTTTTCAATGAATTAGTTTTTAATAAAAGTTGAATTAATTTCTCCAACACACATGCACTTATATAGTGCATGTGCCAAAACCCTATTCCAATGAGGAATAGGCATGGGCTCTAACCCTTGTATCCAAACACCCTCTCTTTTGGTATTTTATTTTAATTAATTATTATTGTAATTAAAATCAATTAATATATTTATAAAATATATTAACATTTAATTAACAATAATAATTCATTTAAATATATGTGTACATATATTTAAATATAATCTCACTAATTTAATTTTAACATTAAATTAAATATAGGCAACAACCTTAGCAAATTTAATTGCACCATGAGATTACCAAAATACCCTTTCATCCTAAAAGATGAAAATACCCCTTGCACAAATTGATTTTTAAATTATCTTCTAAGTGTGTGACCCGTAGGCTCCTCATCATATCGGCAGTGTGTAGTATCGCGATTAACACCAATTAATCGTCTCACTACACACAGACCAAGATTGGCCCCTAGCAAGGCATCATGGCCACTCGATAGATTCAGATTCAGCGAAATAGTTATCTGTCAATGATATGGTTACCGTGCAATGAAATCATTTCATCATCTATTATCTCATCGAGACCGAGGTATAGAAATAATGTCAACTCAATTACTCTCGATATGTTTGTATTTAGTTACTGTAGTAGCCGGGGAAAGCTAATGTAGTAGCCGATGCGTTGAGTAGGAAAGCTTATTTATCCCGACTCACAAGACAGAGAGAGTTAATAGATGAGTTGTGTAAAGAACAGATTGAAGTGATTCAAGGAGGGATTGCTAGATTAGAGATTCAGTCTACCTTACTGGATGAAATCAAAGAAAAGCAAGTGGTTGATGAGTGGTGTCAGAAGATATTGCAGAGAGTGCATGAGAATAAGAGACCAGAGTTTCATCTCGTAGATGGTGTTCTCCGTTTCAGGAATCGGTTGTGTATTCCTCAAGATAAGGAGTTGAGAGAGAGAATTCTTATGGAGGCTCATGACACACCCTACACTGCTCATCCTGGAACAACCAAGATGTATCAAGACCTAAAGAAAGGCTATTGGTGGCCAGGTATGAAGAATGATATTGCGGAGTTTGTAGCTAAATGCCTGGTATGTCAACAAGTGAAAGCAGAACACCAAAGGCCATCAGGATTGCTTCAACCACTTAGTATTCCTGAGTGAAAATGGGAGAGTATCTCGATGGATTTTATTACAGGTCTCCCTAGAGTTCAGAGAGGATATAATGCTATTTGGGTGATTGTTGATAGATTGACAAAATCAGCCCATTTCCTTCCGGTAAAAGAGAGCACTACTTCGGATCAACTAGCCCAGATTTACATCAGAGAGATAGTGAAACTTCATGGGTACCCAAGACAATAGTATCAGATAGAGATTCCAGATTTGTCTTCGCTTTTTGGACGAGCTTACAGAGGAACTTGCGTACTAGATTGGCTTTTATCACCGCCTACCATCCTCAAACTGATGGGCAGACAGAGAGAACAAATCAAGTGCTTGAGGATATGTTGAGAGCTTGCTGTATGGATTATAGAGTATCCTGGCATGAGATGTTGCCCTTAGTGGAGTTTGCTTACAATAATAGCTATCAGTCTACAATTAAGATGGCGCCTTACGAGGCCTTGTATGGTAGACAATGTAGATCTCCACTACATTGGGATGAGATCGGTGAGAAAGATGAGTTGAATATAGCTATTGGGCTAGAGATGACTCAGAAATTGATTGAAGATGTAAAGTTGATTAGATACAGAATGCAACAAGCCCAAGATAGACAGAAAAGTTATGTCGATTTGAAGAGAAAAGAAATTGAATTCGAAGTGGGTGATAAAGTTTTCTTGAAAGCTTCCCCTATAAACGGGTGATGCGGTTTGGAAATAAAGGGAAGCTAGCACCGAGATACATTGGTCCATTTGAAGTGTTGCACCGTGTTAGGAAAGTAGCCTACAGATTGGCCCTACCACTCGGTATGGACAAGGTGCATGATGTTTTCCATGTCTCGATGCTACGAAAGGATGTAAGTGATCCCTCCCATGTATTGAACACAGAGGATATAATTGTGGAAGAGAATCTTGTGTACGAGGAGCGTCCAGTTCAGATTTTAGACCGAAAGAATAAGGAGCTCCGAAATAAGACTATTCCGTTAGTGAAAGTCCTCTGGAGAAACCATAAAGTTGAAGAAGCTACATGTGAGACCAAGCAGGACATGCAAAATCGTTACCCGGAGTTGTTTGTCTGAATTTCGGGGACGAAATTCTTTTATGGGGGAGAGAATTGTAACGCCCCACTTGAGGTACGTAGTTAAGATTTGATGAATGGCTTGAATGTTTATTGATTTATCCTTATTTGAGTTTGTATGTTGTTAATATTGTTTGGTTGGCCCTTGGTTGAATGGTTGTATTGGTTTGGTTGAGTGGTTGCCCTGAAAATTGTAAGACTTGGCGAAATCTTGATGTTACAGTCTTCGCCGGGGTGAAGAAAAAGCTTCGCCGCGGCGATGAAGTGCTACAACCCCCGTGTAGCTGCTGTAAGTTTTCGCTGGGGAAAAGAAAGAGCTTCGCCTCGGCGAAGACTCGGCTGAAAATTCCCTTGAGTTTTTAGAGAATTCTTCCTTTTGGGGCACAATGACCATTCTACCCCTAATTAGCAAGAAAAGTGGGGAGTGAAATGCAAGGAAATTGCTTGGAGAATAGTTTGAATGGGGATTTTTTTGCAAAGAATTAAAGGGCAAAGGTGGAATTTCTAAAAAAGAGTAAGGGTAAAATGGGAAAGAGTGGAGAAAATATGAGATATTAAGGGTTTAGCTTTAGAAACCTTTTCATTCCTTCCTTTCCACCGCCTCTTTCATCCTTCAATTCTCTCAAACTTTCATTCAACTTTCCAAGGATTTTTGGAGGGCTTTTGGCTAGAAATTGATACAAGTTGATCCTAAGCACTTAAAGGTAAGAATCCTTACTCTAGATGTGATTTTTATTGGTGTAAGAGTAAGATCCTTATTGAGTTTGTGTTGAAGGTTTAAGAGAAAGTATCAAGCCATCAAGAGTAGAGAGCTTAAGTGGATTCTACTTGAGCCTAAGGTAAGTAAATCCACCTAAGTTGTGATTTGCATGATTGAATGATGTGTAGAGATTTATATATGATTAATGCTTGGATTTTTATGTTTGAAATGAATTGATGAAGTTATGAATGAGTTCAAGGTTGATTTATGAAGAGATTTCCACCATGAGGAGGGTGGATTGTGTTGATAAAATTAGGTAGAAGTATGGATAGAATTTGAAGAATTTGAGAGGAATATTTGAAGTGTGTTTTCTTTGCAGGATGTGTGATGATTTGAAGGAGTTGAACTCCAATTTTGGATGGTTAAGAAAGAAGTAGAACTATAGTTAGAGTAGGGTTTTTGTATGCACACATATTGTTTGATGAAATGCCTAAGAGAAGCATGAGTAGAAGTAGAGAACCTTCCTTTATGCAACATAGCATATTTGCATTTCATGAGTGCATATAATAAAGATTCTAGGCATGAGCCATCCATATGCATATGTTTATTTGAGTGATCACCAAAGAAAGAAATATGAGAAATGAGAAAGAAACACTCTAAGAATAGAGATAAAGAAAAGAACTAATTCTCTTAGAATAAAGAGAAAGAAAGAGTTAGCACTAGAGAATAAAATGAATAATAAGTGCTAAAGAAGAGAAAACATAATCGGTTGTGCAATGGGGAGCCCGTGAGTGTAGAAATTATCCGCGTGTAACCACCATGAGAGAGCGGTCTCCACCATGAGAGAGCGGTTTCCGCTATGAGAGAGTGGAATGAGAATGAGAAAAAGAATTCGTATAGCCGTGAGAATATATGTGGGTGAGGGCTATATACGAGAGAGAGAGTACATTCACACGGCTAAGGGTTCCGAATCCATGTATCAACCAAGACCAATTGGCAAAGAATAAGAAAGAATAAGAAAGAGTAAGAAAAGAATAAGAAAAGAATAAGAAAAGAATAGAAAGAAAAGAAAAGAGAGAAAATGCATTGTTATGCTTTAGTGCATATGCATCTCATCCATGCATGTTCTTATGATATTTTTTCATGGGTGATGAGAATAGAAAGAAAGAAAAGAATAGTGAGAGCTAGAAGTAAAGAAAGAACAAGAGAGATTGACTAAGAGAAAGTGACAAGAGTAAGAAAAGAATTGAAGAGTAATACACGGGGACTACGAAGTAGAGGATTTACTTACTGAGCATCTTTGTGCTCACCCTATTGTTTTCCTATGTTTTTACAAGACATAGGTGAGGACGTGGTCGGATGAACGTCGGCAAGCGGGGAGAGTTGGCTACACTGTCCACTGTTTTTGAGAGTCTTTTTGTATAAATGATACTGTACTATGTAAAGAATGTATATATTAAGTAAAGAAAATTTTTGGCCCCAACTATTTTGATAAGTATACTTGTCTTTTTATTAATATATTTTATGAATATGATAGTAGAAAGAAGTTGTTACAGTTATTATGGGCGACTTTAATGCAGTTAGATTTGTGGGGGAAAAGAAGGGAGGTTCTAATCAATGGAATTCACAATGTGAAGAGTTTAATGACATGTGTAAGGAAGCTGATATTGATGATCTTAATGCCATTGGGTCATTCTTCACTTGGAATAACAGAGGAAAGCTCAATAGGAGGATTTGGTGCAAACTTGATCGGGTGATATGTAATGAGCATTGGAGCAGCAGGTTTCCCAACTCTTTTGCATCCTTCCTTACTCCGGGCATATCGGACCATTGTCCAATGGTGGTTTATAGTGGGCTGAACTTTCAAGGTAAGAAATCCCCTTTCAAGTTTTTCAACTTTTGGGCAGAGCATGAAGACTTTTTACCTATGGTGGAGAGAGTGTGGAGTGTGGAGGTGGAGGGTAACCCCATGTACAAGCTAGTCTCTAAGCTAAAAGCGTTGAAGGTTGAGCTTAAGAGACTAAATAGAAAAGAGTTCTGGAACATTTCGAAAAGAGTGAAATTTGCAAGAGATGATCTAGCCCAAGTCCAAGAAAGGCTTGTTGTGGATCCGGTTGATGATGCTATTTTGCAAGAGGAGAAAGATAAGGTGGAAAAGATGGCCAAGCTTTCAAAAGCCGAAGAATCACTAGCCAAGCAAAAGTCTAGGGTTAAATGGTTACGGGAAGGGGATGCTAACACTTCTTACTTCTTTAAATCGATTGCTAGATGGTGGAATAGAAATAAGATTGCGTCCTTGGAAATTGGGGAAGACTCGGTTACTAGTGATCAAGATAGAATCAAAGAGGAGTTTGTGTCTTTCTACTCAAATCTTTTTGAAGTTATGTGTCTGGGTGTTTCCTATGAGGGCATGGAGGAACTTATCAGCCCTGTTATTTTGGAAGAGGAGGCCAATTCCATGATTAGTGAGGTTTCCAAAGAAGAGATTCAAGAGACCATGTTTGGAATGAGTAAAGACAAAGCACCGGGGCCAGATGGATATGGAGCTTTTTTCTTTAAAAAGCTTGGGATATTGTATGTCATGATGTTGTTAAAGCGATCCAAAATTTCTTCAAGTCTGGGAAGATGCTTAGAGAGGTGAATTGTGCCATTATTGCATTAGTCCCAAAGAATGAAAATCCTTCATCTTGTAGTGAGTTTCGGCCGATCTCATGTTGTAACACCATCTACAAATGCATCTCCAAGATTATGGCCAATAGAGTTAAAAGGGATAGATATGGCAGCCGTATTGTGTATGGTTTGGGGCTACAACATCTTGCTAAGGTGTGTGAGATTTGGGATGGGACAAGATGGCGATGGCCAACGGCTAATTCTTGGGCTTTGATGGACATGAAGGATTCTATCGACTTTGATCCAAAGGAGGGCGAGGACGTGGCTGTTTGGAAGCCTAATGCATCCGGTAAGTTCTCTATAAAATCGGCTTGGGAGGTTACTCGTGTGCACCAACGCCAAGTGGAGTGGCATCACCTTGTATGGTTCCCAACAGCCATTCCACGACACTCCATGATCACGTGGATGGCATGTAAGGATTGGCTTCAGACCAAGGACAAACTGATGAGGTATGGAATAGCCTCTAGCAATGCGTGTTGTTTTTGTAATCATGGGCAAGAAACGATCGATCATCTCTTTTTTGCTTGTCCTTTCACCCAAAGGATTTGGAACTTAATCTTTGAGCTCTCTTCTCTTGGGTATGTCACCCAACCTTGGACCAATTATGTTGAGCACATAGATAGTAGGTGGAGGAAGAAAAAGCTAAAGTACTCTATAGGGAAGCTAAGTTTGGGAGCCACCGTTTACTCTATTTGGAGAGAGAAGAATAGCTGGATTTTTGGTAGGGAATGCAAGGATGCACATACGCTCTACAACTCTATTAAGAATGTGGTGAGGGAGAGGGCTATGAACCTTAGCAAGATCATAAAGAATACCTACAATAGAAGACTTGCCGAGAAATGGGGTCTCCCCATGTCTATTTTTAAAACATCCCATGGGAGGTAATTATATGGTTTGTATTTATGTGATGGGTTTTTTTTCGTGTAAGGGGATTGGGTTATATGACATCCCGACGGGTGATTGTGCTAGAAAAGGCTACTTTGACAATTGGAGTCTTGGGCTGTTGATCTAGTACTTTGTCTTTGTGTCATTAACGGGCCCTACCTTGTTAATGTCCATGTTTATGGAATTCTTTTTGATAATGCTTATGCATATAGGTTTTGTGCTCTGATACTTTTGAACCTAACCCAGGGCATGTCCTGTGGTAGGTGGGATTCATTGTATTCTTTAATCTCTACTTTGTTCCATTCCTTTGACAAGCGGAATGGGAAAAAGAGAAGATTAGGGGTAGACTTAGATAGTATCATTCCTTTGCTCCTAACCTAGGGCTTGTCTTGAGGTAGGTTGGCCGACTTTTAGGCCTTTTGTACATTCTTTCCCCTTTCTATAAAAGCTTACTTATCCAAAAAAAAAAAAAAAAATCCTCAAAATTGCCCCTAGTGCATTCGGCCATAACCAAACTCATCTCTTCATCATTGACATAGCCCTCCCTCATTAGTTGAAAACCAAGTACCTTAGCATCCAAAATAGAAAGTATAGCATACCTCCTTGATAAGGCATCCCCAACAACATTATACACTTTTCCCTTGTAATTCGAGACAAATGAAATGGATTTTAGAAAGTCAACCCATTCGACATGCCTTGAATTCAATTTGTGTTGCCCATTTATGAACTTCAAAGCTAGGTGATCTAAATGAAGGACAAATTGCTTAGGCCTTAGATAATGACTCCAATGGTCTAAATTCCTCACAATAGCATAAAATTTCTTGTTGTAGGTGTTGTACCTTCTTCTTGAGTTGTTGATCACCTCACTAAAATAGGCTATTGAGCGCTTGGATTGAGTAAGTATAGCCTCAATACCCACCCCACTTGCATCACATTCCACCTCAAACACTTGATTGAAATCAGGTAAGGCTAAAATTGGTGCTTCACAAAGTTTCTTCTTTACCACATCAAAGGCTTCATTGGTTGCCATAGTCCACTCAAAACTACCCTTCTTCATGCACTTGGTGATGGATGCCATGATAGTGCTAAAGTTGGGAACAAACCTCTTATAGAAAGATGCAAGCCCATGGAAACTCCTAACCTCCGTTATAGATGTGAGATGTGACCAACTCCTAATGGCTTCCACCTTTGATTGATCTACCATAATACCATCCTTGGAAACCACATACCTAAGAAAAATCACACTAGGAGAAAAGAACTCACACTTCTCTAATTTGGCAAATAACTTTTTTCCCTCAAAACTCCAAAAACCCGTCGCAAATGCCTTAAATGTTCCCCTTCATCCTTACTATAAACCAATATATCATCAAAGTAAACTACCACAAACCTCCCCAGGAATGGCTTCAATACTTCATAAGCCGCATAAACATACTAGGTGCATTGGACAACCCATACGGCATAACTATCCACTCAAATAACCCTCTTTTGGTGTTAAAAGATGTCTTCCATTGATCACCCTCCCTCATCCTAATCTGATGATATCCACTCCTAAGGTCTTTTTTTGAGAAAATCGTGGAGCCATGCAATTCATCCTACATGTCATCTAATCAGGGAATGTATACCTATACTTGATAGTAATGTTATTGATGGCTTTACCATTCACACACATCCTATAGGTTCCATCTTTCTTAGGTACTAATAATGCCAACACCGAACATGGGCTCATACTCTCCCTCACATACCCACAACTCACTAACTCATCAACTTGCCTTTGCAATTCTTTAGACTCCTCCGAATTATATCTATAGGCTAGCCTATTGGGTAAAGGTGCCACAGGAATAAGGTTTATATGGTGCTCAATACCCCTTAATAGTGGCAATTCGGGTGGCAATTCATTTGGGAAGACATCCTCAAACTCTTTAAGTAAGGGTTAGACTAACAGGCGAGGTTTACTCTAGGATTCACTCTCTTTTCTTTTGGTTATGAGTAGGGCAAGGACTGGTTCATGTTTAAGTAAGGCTCTCTCAATTGTGTGACCACTCAAAAATAAGTTTTCCTTTCGGTTTTCCACTATGGGTTGGGTTTTGTGTATTTGGGATGGTTTTAAGGGTGCTAGGTTATGGTTTTTCCTTTCATCCTAAAAGAATAAATGTTCTTTCTACCATCATGCATAACTCTCCTATCAAATTGTCATGGCCTACCCAACAACATATGATATGCATGTACAGGAATTATATCACAAATCACCTCATCAACATAATTAGAGCCAATAGAGAAAGGAATTACGACCTGTTTTGTGACCTGGAGTGTGCTACCATTGCTTAGCCATTGGAGCTTGTATGGCTTGGCATGACTAAGAGGGGGCAAGCTCAACTTGTCCACAAGCATTGATGATGCCACATTGGTGCAACTCCCGCTGTCAATAATGATTGAACACACCCGGCCCTGATAGTACACCTTGTTTGGAACAAATTTTCTTTTTGTTCCTCACTTGGGCAAATCTGGGAGTGCAAAACTCTCTTCAATACAAGCATATTCCCATTGTCTGCCTTCTTCATGATCTCATCCTCACTTTCGGCTTCATCATCTCGATCATCCTCCTCTTGCAAAGCCTCCTCAATTTCTTAAATCTCTTTAAGCGTCATTACCCGTTGCTTTGGGCAATTAGCTTGAAAGTGGCCATAACTATGGCATTTGAAATATTTCTTGTCCACATGGCTTTGTTTCACAAAATTGGGGGTTGCCTTGGCCGTATCCAACATCTTCTCTTTGCCTTTGTCTTTGTTGAGAGTCTTGGCCTTGTTGAAAGAAGTACCTGCTTTGTAGAATGAATTTCCCATATTAAAGTTTCGGGTTGTTGTAGATTTCATGGCCTTCCTTTGCTTCTCCACCTTGATAGACAGTTTGCACACATCCTCAAATGAACAATAAGGTTGCAATTCCACCATATTAGCAATTTCTTGGTTTAACCCTCCCAAAAATCTAGCTACGGTTTGTTCCTTAGGTTCAGGCAGCTCACTCCTTATCATTAGCCTTTCAAAATCTCTAATGTATTCCCCCACACCCTTATCCCCTTGCTTAAGAGTGTGTAGCTTTAAGTAAAGGTCTTGCTTGTGATCATCAAGCAAGAACCTTTTCTTCATCAACTTCTCCCATGACTTCACCTTATTCTTCCCCTCTTTATCCCTTTTTTTCTAACATTTTCCCACCATAAATAGGTTTAGAAAATGGTTTAGACAATTTAAGTGAAAATTTACAAATAGAAGCATATGCCAATCAAATAGGAGAGGTAAAAAATTGTCTTGCAGAAGTATATTTCCAATATGGAAACAGGTACGGGAACCTGCAAAGAGGCAAAATATCCAGGAAAGTTGCATCAAAAGAAACAAATGAAGACTTCTACTCTTGGAGTGCACTGAATAGACCGAAGAGGACTCGAATCTGAAGCACAGCCTCCTCTTTAGAAGCACCACCACCAACAACAACAACTAATATACTGTCCTCAATGCAATCACAAAGTAATGAGCTTCAAAATTATTTGGCAACCCTTAAAATGTTACCAGCAGATCCACAACAGAGAGCCAACTTTGATGTCTTAGAATATTGGAAAGCCAGAAAATGTATTTTTCTGGTATTATCAAGACTTGCCTTGGATGTTTTCGCTGTTCCTGTCTCAACTGTCTCATCTGAACAAACATTTAGTGCAATTGGAAGAATTTTAAACGAAATGAGGACTAAACTTTCTCCACAAATGATTGAAATCCTCACATGTCTTCGAGATTGGGAATGGTTGCGCCATCAAGATCAATACGAGGTTGTCGACGATACTTTAATAGAATCATTTCAATTTTGTAATGTAGATGATACGAATGAGGGAGGTCCTAGTCAACCACCCCCAAATTAGTTGTTTTGTAAATTGTAACTTGTAAATTAATTGTCAATTATTGCACTCTTTTTTCTTTACCAAGTTTTTGTCCCATTGGGTTTTTCTTGATGAGGTTTTTAACGAGGCAATAATTGTTATAATTTCTTATTTTATTTTTTGATAAATGAATAAATCTAATTTTTCTTATATTACAATTTTATTGTATTAAAATTGAATTAATATTTGAAATGCTAACAAAAAAAAAATTTAATTTAATTGAATTATTGATATTTGGAAAGTTAACTAAAAACAATTACATTTATTCATTTATAAATTGTTAATTATTCATTTGAAAAGTTAACTAAACAAAACAAAATCAAATCAAAAATCAAAAAAAGGGGCTAACCCGGCCAGGCCCGCAGCCTAACCCAGTGGGTTAGGGTTGGCTGGCCGGGCTAGGCTAGCCAATCCCCAAAAAATGGCGGGCCTAACCCGACCTGCCTTTGTTGGTGGGCAATTAGGACTAGCGTGCCAAAATCAGTAACCCGTCGTGGGCCGGGTCGAGTCGGGTCCTGCTGGGCCGGGCCGAGCTTGTTACGTTTCCAACATTGGTAGAGAAGTACACATGTTGAGTGTACGTGGTAACATGTAGTGTCCACTCTACTAATACTGGGAATCACACTTGAGGACGATGGCTAGGCCGTTAGATTGTGTGATTAGCTTGTTGGCTTACTTCACATTTGAGGTTGGTAGTGGGAGCTATCAACTGGTGTGGATTAAGTTTGTTGGCCTACCTAATCAACCCATTTCGGCTTGTTCGCCACAGCAAAGGTTTGAAATGGGCCAGATGGGGTCACAGTCCACTAGGAAAGCCAACGGGCTTTCTCGAGTTAATAGTGAGGGCTATTGGCTTGAGGAAAATAGTGGGAGTGTTTTTTAATAAAAGACCATATTAAGAATAATAAACATTATATTGACTTTACTTTTCTGAATTGTAGATTCACTTAAAAATGAGCATTATGAACTTGCGACCGATAATCGAGAAAGAAAACATGTTAGATGGATCTAATTTCTCAGACTGGTATTGTAATCTTCGGATTATACTTAAGTCCGAAAAGAAATTGTATATCCTTGA